GTGTGCATTCACGTTGAAGGTGTGGTGTTAATTGGAGTTGTGTGCAAATGGCCTCAGATGTACTTCCACCGAGTCCAGGGTCACTTCGCTATGACAGTAACAGCTTCACAATCCTAAGACCCAATTAATATGAGGATTTACTTATTATCACTCTGAATGAACGTAATTAAACTGAATCATTCAGTGTTATGCTTAAGTGCAGGATAGCAGATGTTGGCCTTAGCTCTTGGAAAGAACAATTAGTAATCATGCAGTTATATCTGCAGTACTTAATTTATATTTTGCAACAGCACTCATTATTTCATTGCCCCCATTCGGTTTGGAAATATCCCAGTGAGTTTTCTTTCCACTCTACAACTGCTGAGAAGCAACTCAATCTAAGACAGAAACTAGAGCAGTCAGAGGAGTGTTTGTTCAGAGGATCTGTAGCATGAAATATATGTTGTAGGCTCCAATTAACCATGGATGGTACCCCTGGGAGGCTCAAAGTGTCAAACTCAACATTCAGCACTTTGGTATCACATGCCCTAAGAAACTAAATTACACACATGTAATTCAAAATTAATTCATTCTGAGATTATGAGTAGTGTAGAATATGTGCCTACTTATTCGTTTTATGTGGGACTGTCATTAGCTTTGAGCTAAAAATACGTAGTCTGCAAAAATATGCAATAGTATAACAATCTTATCAGTAGTTGCAGTCGTTTTCTCCAAGATTTTGTTTTGATAATAAAGGAGTCCATTCTCTACCCAAAGACTAATTTAATTACATGGTAAACCATAAGCATAGATAAATTTAGTTGCTACTTTAAGAGCGGCAGTTGTGTTTCTTTTATATATACATGCCACACAATTTGGTCATGAAATTATAAGCCCATTTCACCCTTATACACATCTACAGGTCTTATGCAATACTTTCCCAAATATTGTTTTATGTTTCCCCCTAAAAAATACAAAACAGCAAAGATGCTTAATAGGTAGAATAACAATCCTGCTAACATTACAGCTACTCCTTCTTTAGCATCTGTTTTTGTTTTGTTTTAAGACTATCAAACTAGTTCTAAAATATGCATTTAAGCTACGAGTTTAATTGTACATTGTTCCAGTTCAGTTCATAGCCCTTTAAGTGCTTGGTTTGGAGTTGTTCTATGAATTGAATCATCCTGCATGGTTGTGTCCCTTTAAGGTTTTCTTTTAAAGGCAGTTTAGTAAAGAAGCATCATCAGCCAGTTTCTTGACAGTTTACGTTCATGTTAAATAAAGACTTTTAAGGTGTAAATTGGCTATTTTGTGCAGAATTCCTACAAATTTTGGTTATTTATGGAAGCGATAGGATTATGTAAAGACAGTTGTCTTTTGAACCTCAAATGTGGAAAGTTTTGTGCTTGTATTTAAAAATGGGATTAATTATCACCACAAACATTTTTTATGATGAGAAGGCTAAATACATTTCAGATAGATGAGGAAAGCCTGTGAAACAGCCATTTCAGCTCATTATAAATATTTACATGGATAGATTATCATACACAGCATTTGTGGTCTGTCCTTATTCATTGTTTTTAAGGTCAAAGTACTTAAAGTGGAACATTATTTTGGCAGTAAATTTATCCTGGGAGAGTACTTAAACACTAATAAGGTTTGTTTCATCCAGAGAGAATAAGCCTGGATAGCTGAAATTGCAGAAAATATTCTGTAGCACCTACATGACTTTATCCTGAACACACAAACCATAGTGACTACAGTTCTGATTATGAGAAACCCAAACGCATCTTGTTTTTATATTTTTTTTCTTTTTAATCTTCCAGAGTAATTGCTCACACTGTGGTAATCTAAGAGTCAACCTTACTTTGTGCTCTTTAGTCTCCCTGCACTGCATTTCTAGATTATGAGTGTTCAAATGATCTCTGTGTCCTTCATTCGGTAAAGCAACACATAGAAAGTGTACACAGATGAGCAGCGGAGACTGAAGGAGGGGAGAGAGTTTTCTATTTTTGGAGTTAGGGTTCTCATGGGTTTCCAGGAGAGAGGCCCGCTGAGGGCTCCCCCTCCTCTGATGGCAGTGCAACACAGAAATCTGCAAGCTCCAAAAGATGCCAGTCATGCCAATAAGTAAACACAAGGATTTGCATTTCAATTTCCATTAAGACAGTGAAACATACCCTGATCAAAAAGGGTATCATGCTTAGGGCAATGCTAAAGAAATGGGAGAAATTGGACACATTTTACAACATTAAGGTTTTTCTGTTGCTTTGACAACAGCAAGGACAACCTTGGACACCAGACAGCTTTGTGTCAATACAACACTGTCTTCCTCACAAATGCTCCAAGCTTTTCAGTCCATCATCACTGACTCACACATCCCTGTCTGTCATAAATGAGTCTGAAACTGGTGCAGCCACACAGTTTCAAACCAGATCACTAATGTGATTACTTGAAAGTAGGCCTGGGGTGAAACCTGCTCTGTGACTACGGATAGTAAAGTGAACAGGAGGTGGTTGTTGAGTTGATTTAACTCCTTATATCTTCATTTAGTCAAAAATTGTTGGGACTTTTTAGATTTTTACTCATCTCTAAGCACAAAAACAATGCAGCGGAGAAATCACAGTAAGGCTTTGATTATTTATATCACATCAGGAAAGCAATAACTCATATCTTCCAATCATTTGCTTAAACAAAATTATTCTTACACTAAAAGAATAAGGCTTAGATATATATTTTGATAAGGAACCTTTTTATGTGATTATTGAATAGATCACATAGTTGTGTGTCTCTACTGTTTCTCATCATATTTCCAAACCTCAGTATTTTCAAACCTCAATATTTGTATTTTTTTATTAAACTAAATGCTCCAAATAATTCCCAGTTAAAGGGTGGGTAAGAAATGCCAAATGTGTAAACATAATAATTAGATACAGGAAAAAGCAATGATACAAAGTATAGAAAAAAGAAACAATCATAATTTTCTTTCTAAAATAGATCAATCACCGGGTTGATCCCAGGGTACAGATCATTTACCGTACACACTGCTTGATTCATGATTATGGTCTGTTAGCAGAGCAAATGGCAGAGATTCTGTGTTTAGAGTGACATCTTGTGGATGAAGGCTATAATTTAACAAAAGAAAGTCCACTTTCTGTTTATTCATTCAAATAATTATCATAAAGGCTTTATATAGAAGCTTAGATTTAAAAAAAATCATGACGCATTACAGGATACTATAACAAGGGTGATACAAGAAGTTTATTTGAAATAAAAAAATAAATAAATTTTTTCGCAGTGTCCTATTTATTAACTGGAACAGAATAAAGAATAGAATTCAACTTTATTGTCATTACTCTGTCACTTGTTCAGAGCAAGGAAATTAACTCTTTGCATTTAACCCATCCCCTTGGTGAGCAGAGGTCTGCCATTGTACAGCACCCAGGGAGCGGTGTAGGGTTAAGGCTCTTGCTCAGGGACCCAGAGTGGCAGTCTGTGGGAGTGGGGCTTGAACTCAGGACCTCTGAAACCGAAGTGCAATGACAAGAATTACATTTTTATATAGCTTTTTCATTCTTTCTTTTTAAGATTAAAAAGTTTACAGACAGTAAGACTACCAGACAAGCAATTTCAGAACCCAAACATGATGAGATGGCTTTGTATATTTCTGAAAGGTTAATTAACATCTCAGAGTATTTGGAAGTACGCCCGTGTATTTAAGGAAAACACCTCAAACAGAACTTAGAACCTTAAGGTGCATGCACCCTAACCTTGCATGCCAACAAAAATACCACCCCTACACTGAAGTGGAGATGTAATAGCAATTTATATCACATAATGGGTGTTTTTGCAAAAGTGTTTTGCTGCAGGGGTAACTGGTGCACTTTACAAAATAGATTCCATCAGGATTAAAACACATATATTGGGTAATATAAAACATAAATCTTAGAACTTCACCCTAGGGCCAAATAGGTTAGTAAAATTTAAAGTTACTGAGGCATTCTGCCAAATAAGTATCCAGGTAGTTTAAGAACAAAATCACTGACAAGTCTACCCGAAAGCCGATTCAGTGGCAACAGTTCTGTCACGAATGAACCCAAAATTCACCAAACTATTGTGAGAACCTTGTGAAATGATACCCACAGTAGCCCATACAATTTAAAGATAACTCTGCCAAGCAAAAACTAAATCTAACCTCTGAATTTTAATTACAAAAAAAAATAAGCCTATAACATTTTTTAAAAGAAGTAAAAAATGTTTTACCAAAATCTAGACAGTTTTAGTCTAATTTAATGACAAACATAGAAACAAATATTTGTTTTTATTCATACAGTGTATGTAAAAACAACGGAAGAGTATTAGGGCCACTGAAAAAACAAAAAAGTTAACTGATTTTTACATTTTATTCCAGTATAATATGAGAAAAAAGTCAGCGTTCTGACTTGAATCTCAGACTTCTGACTTTAATCTCAGAATTTTGGACCTAATGTAGATGGGCACCATGAAGGTAGAAATGATAGACCACTCAGCTTCACTAACAAAGATGTGAGTTGTTTGGGAGGGCCAGTAACACATTTGTGGAAAATTATGGAATTGGGCTAATTTTTACGTGCCTGAGGGGTCCCCAGTGATGCTATTTCATTAATGGAAGAGCAGAAGGTCATTAAAACAAGAGAGCTAGTTAGCTGTCAGAATTCAGAGAAAAAAGTCAGAATTCTGAATTTAAAGTCAGAATTCGGAGAAAAAAGTCAGAACTTTGAGAAAAAGTGAGAATTCTTAGATTAAAGTCAGAATCAAGACTTTTCCCCAATATTAAACTGAAATAATATTTAAAAATCAGTAAACTTTTTAAAAAAAAATTTCAGTGGCCCTAATCCTCTTCCGTAAAAATACAAGGGGTTTCACATGTAAGCCTTGGAGGCAAGCCGATCACTGTTAGTGAAAGCCAGTAGAAAACATAAATCATCCTCAAAATCCTCTGAAGATTTGGCAAGAATTCCCAGAAGGCTATGCGAAACATGCGCGCCTCCTGGTAAATGTAGTCTAATAACAGGGTCGCTTCCGCCCTGCGATAGGTGAAGGAATTCTCTCAGCAAAGACAAATCACATGTGAAATTATTGATCAGGTAGGGCTAACACCTTCATCTGACCAATTTTAAACGTTTTACTCCGTAGACCTAGTAAAAGCTGTCATCTCGTTCATTTTGTCTGTTTCTGTCCCTCCTTTGTTGTAGTCGCTGTCGCAGTGGTGCAAAATTAGCGCGTACATGGCGATGCATTTCCTTTTGTTCGGCTAGCTTGTGTGCAGAATTGCAGAAAACAAGTTTCTACAAATATTTCTAACACATAGTATACCGTGACTAAACGGCTTTGAAATCCAGTTAACGTTTGTTAACGGTTATGCGCGCCATGGCTTTATAATATAGGTGACCGTGGGGTGTTTATTTAGCAGCACTGAGCTATGATTTGTATTAGCCATATGGTTAGCAGCATAAATATGTAACCTGTAGATAGCTTCAATCAAGGTAGTTAGCTCTGTGGCTTTAGTCCGCAGGCTTGTTTACATCCGGTTTTGTTTGTTCCTTTACAATCCTGCTTATCTGTGGATGATTCAGCTTGGAGCTGCGGACTTAAACTTGTTTCACTTTGATTACTTTAACAAGATTTTTGTCTTTGAGGATTACTTTTTTTGACTTTGGACTAACGGACACGTTTTGTGTTTTACAGAATTGTTTGGATTTATGGAAACATGTCAAAGAAACGGGGCAGGTAAGTTAAACAGACACATGCATAGTATCATTAAAATAAAATATACATTTAAATGTTTATATTTGACACTGTTATTAGGGTGTTAGCCCAAAGACATCCCCAAAAGTGATTTCCTCTAACAACAACAAAAAAAAACAGTTGCAATCTGTAAGGGTACAAGATCTTATGTGTAGGTTAAAAATATATATAATTACAAATATTTACTATATATTAAGTATTATGTTAAAAAAACAGAAAATGTTAGAACTGTAAATTTACAGTCATATGTTTATATTTCTATTTTTATATATTTTTTACTGTTTTTCAAGGCTGCAACGAAATTTGTTTTTGTTTTACACTTTTGTAAGCAAAATTACAAATAAATCTGTCTGTCTAATGCTTTTTAGGCCTTTTATTCATCTGGACCTTTATGCTGGTTTAAGTAGATTGGACTCAATTATCAAATCAGTTGATTCTTAACAAATATTAATTTATGCAAATAAGCAAATAAAATTGTGAAAATCCTATCAATGAGTAGAAAAAGAATCCATAAAGGAAAATAGGACTTTTTGTCTTCTTTCTAACCCTTTGCATATGGTGCTAGATTTGCACAATATATGGCAAATTTATTATTATTGTAATATTATTGTATGTGTTGCAGTATGACCACTGATTTTACTTGGGCTGTATTTAATGTCAACTTATTAAGCAGCATTTAAGGTCTCTGTTCCTGCGATATGCTTTGCAGAACTTGTTTAGTGGAGCATGATGGTTTCACAAAGCAAAGGGATGTTAAATGGTTTATAGTCATTAAGAAACTACAGTGGTAAATGTTTTAAATAAGACACTTTTCACTTATTTAATGTGAGTTATCTTTCAATTGCAACATTCATTGGTATTATTGGATGTTTTCCTAAAATAATGCATCCCTATGCTGTGAATAAATCTGACAATGGATAAATCTAGCAGCACTGTCCTTGCTTACATCTCATTACTGTGTGAAGGAGAGATAGACCCGCTCGATATTAATTTCAACTAAATGAGTAGCCTTATTGTCTTCTTTAGTGTGCTGTCTCTGGATATTATCATGCCTCCTGCATGACGTAGGCTTGTTTAAACCTGGTAGTATAACCCCAGCTGTGTTCTATGAATGTTCATTGTACACATCTGTGAAACTGTTGTCTTGTCTTTGTGCTTGCATGCTGATTTGTCTCTTAAATTTAGATTTCCATTTCATGAAATTTTAAACACTTTGATGAATAAAAAAAAGACTAAATTGATGTCTGACTTTCATGGGAAAAGACAAAAATTAACCTAAGAAAAACTTTTAATACCGTAAGCATAATTTGATTTTTTAACAAATTAAAATGACATGTTTTGAGACCTTATTACTGGTTCGATTGTTGTTAAATCTAATTTTAAGGAATTTTATTTCAATTCATTGTGAATTACTGCTTTTTTTTTACCCCATAAACATCAGTTATAGGATCCCCTTTTCTTGTATCAACTTCTTAAAATGCAAGGCAAGTTTATTTATAAACCACAACTCGGTACTAAGACAATTAAAAATTTCTGTACATGAATTAAACAGTAAAGTAGAATGAAAATAAAAGCAAGTAAAGATAAAAAATATGATAAAGTTACATAGTAAAAACAAATAAAACAGTTTGACCACAACCTTAACGTAATGATCCTGCAGTTAACAGTTAAAGACTGACTTGAATGTTATGGTTTTATTCTGTTGTTATCAAAGGAAGCGTAGCAGTGGAGAGCTGAGTGAAAGCTCGGCGTCAACCCTGAGCCCGGACCCGGATAACCTCCTGGGCCGCAGGATTCAGCACACTTGGAGGGAGAAGGGTAGTGTGACTAAATGGAAAGGCACCGTCCTGGAGCGCCTTAGTGTCAACAGCTCCCTCTACATGGTGAAATATGACGGCTTCGATTGCGTTTATGGCATCGAGCTCTTCAAAGACAGCCGAGTGTCCAACCTGCAGGTTTTGGCAGAAAAAGTTGGTAAGCATGTTGTGGTTTATAACTGTTTCTGAACTAGTTTAGATTAAACGTATCTAGTTTATGCTACTTGTAAATGTAAAAATCCCTTTATTGTCCCATGATGGGGAAATGCACCCTTTGCATTTGACCCATCCCCTTGGGGAGCAGTGGGCTGCCGTTGTGTGGTGCCCTCGGAAAACCGGGTACTTGCAACCTTCTTGAAGCATAACGCACTGCTCTAACCCACTAGGCCAATACTCCCCACCAGGGACCTTTAGATTACTGCTGCATATAAAGACGATAAAGATTGATGCTGATGCTTCAAAAACATACTGTCTTATTTGTCAAAAAGCGAAACAACATAAAGGATGTTTATAATTTCCCAAATTTTCTAAAAAGAAGAATTCAATCTATATTTTAATGGTTAAAAAAATATTTGAAAATCTGATATAAGGCTGAAATTGGGTAACATATATCAATTGTCTGTTTATTTCTCAGATGTTTAGATATTGGTGCTCCATATATCTATTTTGGATCCATAAAGCTTTCAGGCTTTCTGAAGGGACTCCTCTCTCCTTACAGTAAACAATAAGATCAAGGTGCCTCCTGGGGCCGAGGAGCTTGTGGGTCGAGCCGTGGAGCATCTGTTTGAGAAGGAGGATGGGGAGAAAAACGAGTGGCGAGGCATGGTGCTGTCCAGAGCCCCCGTCATGACCCACTGGTATTACATCACCTACGAGAAGGACCCGGTGTTATACATGTACCAGCTGTGGGACGACTACAAGGACGGAGACCTACGTGTCCTGCCTGAGTCAGGTACAGTAATGAGAGCTTTAGTGTCACATTTTATTCAACAGCTCTTTGTAGTTTAGATGTTTTTTTTAGAGAAGTGTTATAAGAAGAAGATGATAAAACACAGAAAAAAAAAAAATCTACAAAAATGTATGCAAATTATTTCTTGGCTCATGGTAAATAAACCCTTGGAAAAGGTTATTTTACCTCCCTTTTAGTTTTTTTTTAGTTTTAGAGCCAAAAATCACAAAGAAATCTGTTCGGGTTTTTTATTCCTTTTTTTTTTATGAAGATACTTTTTATGGAAAATCTGTCTTTTTTTTTTCGTTTTCTTTAACACTAATCCACTCCTTGGGCTTCCATCACTCAGAGGGACATCAGTTCAACACTTTTTGTTCTCAGATGTTACAAACTATACGTTCTGTGTGATATCACTAGTTGCAAACATCTGGTTAGTTGTATTTGTAATTTATTGTAAGACATTATTATTTACAAATATATTTCCCAGCTGAAATTTTGTTCTTAAAATTAAGGTAACCTCCCAGAGGGGATAATTGAAATTAAAGCTAGTTTTTGAAGGCAATACTTGTCATGTTATTATGAAACTTAAGAGACAGAACAAGATGGATTCATCAAATTTGAGAGGAGAGAAAATGTATTAGACTTTTAAGCCGTATCACCCAGCCTCGGTTATGAGTAACTATGATATGGATGGAAAATCAAGGAGAGTAATAATGAACAGAGAAACAACCAAGGGGTCTATAATCTCTGGATGAGCTGCTCCACAGCTCAGGTGGGAGAACATGACTACTAATCTTCCACTTAACAAATGTAGCTTCTTAAAAAGGAATTACAATAGAACCATTAAGTCTAATGCAACATTTTCATATTCTTGTTGTACATTTCTCTTACCTCTTCTACTGTGGGTTATTACGAACACGCATCCAAACATTCTTAACTTCAGTAAATGATCCTCGTAAATGTGAAGCAATTTTGCTGAACTTTCATTATATTTTCTGTTCCAGATGTTATTTCCATAGTAGCTAAAACTTTGACTGTTCTTTCTTTTGACAAAAAAAACCCCAACAAATTAAACCAGTGTTCCTTGGATACCAAAATGCCAGCTGCAGGTGTAGTGACCGATAGTTTTGTCATCAGAAAATAAAAATGTTATGTTTAATTGAAGAGTTGCATATTTCGGTACATAATAGCCCCATTTAAACTACCTTTTTGAAACCGTGCGGAGATCGGTCCAAACACAGTAACCGAGTTAACTGTTGAGTGTAAATGGCACGCAACACTGAACCGTACCGTGTCAGACACAACCAAACCACGCTAAACTGGTACTAGTTCATCAGTAGGGATCAGCGCGGTTCAGTTCTGACTCAGTACTCAGATAACAAAGAGGTCATGAGCAGACCGCGTCATCTCCTTACAGTCAGCTTCCGTAATCATGAAATTTCATACATTCATAAAAATACTAACTTCCCTACCGTGCCACACGATTTCCAGTGATGATTCTGCTTAGCAGTGTGATGAACAGATGAACGTCAGTCGTCGTGTCCTTTGTCTGTAAGCCCTGATTAGACTATTGTTTGGCCTATCCAATTCCCAAAAGCTGACTCTGTCTACTACTTTTCTACTCTGTCAAGTAAATTCACCAAAGGCTGCCTTCTTCACCTGAATCTCTACAAAAAAAAAGAAATATCACAATTATAACCAAACTTCCCCAATGTTATGGGCGCCGCCTTCGTTAATTTGCTTGTTCACCTCTAAAGAGCAATAGTACCATAGATCATCACTAGGAGGAGAGGAACCGTGCTAGTGTGGTGTACAAACGGTCATAAGGAACCGAGCTTGGCGCGGGTAACTGATCCAAGCTTGTTGCAAACTCGGCACAGATCGGTTTCAGAAGGGTGGTTTAAATGGGGCTTTTGATGCAGCCTAATAAAATGGACAATTGCTTCCAAGTAAAACAAATGTAGTCATTTTGTGAAAATCTTTTTCAGATTTGTTCATATCTGAAAGATTAGAAATAGAGGAAAAATTATGAATACGACATTTTATCATGAATAACTCAAACGGACAATAAATAAAAGTGTTTGTATGAACAGTTCTTGCATGAGGCCTGATAATGTTTAAGGAAAACTTTGATTGAAAAATATAAGAACTTCAGTTTACTCAGTCATCTACAGAAGCTGTAGTACATACAAAGCTTGATTGTCTCAATAACTTTGTGCTTGCACCTCATCTTGTCTTGATGTGGAAAGGGCGACACATGACTCTGAACACTGCATCCTCACAATGAAACATGGTGGTGGCAGCATCATGCTGAGCTTTTCTTTAGGAGGGATATAAGCTGCTCAGAGCTGATGAACAAAGCTAAAAGATGAAAAATTAGCCTAAGCAAACAACCAAACAAGGAAATGGTTTAGATCAAAACATATGTCAGAATATTCCAGTAAATAAACCAAAATAGGAATAAAGACTCTGTTATTTTACTGCTCTTCATTCAATTTGATTAGGCTGGTATGCAAAGGTAGAGCAGAATTAAAGACTTGTAGTTATATTTGTAGCAAATGGTGGTTTTCCATATGGGTTAAAGGGGCAGAATACAAATTAATGGAAGACCTGTCAGGGTTTTTCTATTTTTGTAAGATAACTTTAAAACCATCTATCTTTTACCATCTATTTTATAATTAAGTGCTATTTTTTGTTGTCAAGTAACATACAATCCAGATAAAGTTTTTAACACAAAATACACTTAGTAACCTAACTTCTGTAATGTGATAGGCATCGCTTCATCAACACGCTGTTCAAAGTCTGAATCAAACACATGCATCCATGTAGGTAGTTTAATTCCATGTTAAGACTGCAAATGTTGTTTTAACAAGCTGCTATAAACTGTGTTTGAGTTGTATCGATCTTATTTTACCCACTGCTTATGTTTGGTCTTCCAGAGAACAAACACCTGCTGCCGGCAGACAGGAAGCCAGGCGAGGAGCCAGAGAACCTTGTGGGTAAACAGGTGGAGTACGTCACCGATAACGGCCTGAAGAGGACAGGCCTGGTCATCTACCAGGTCCCGGCAAAGCCCACCGTTTATTACATCAAATATGACGACGACGTCCACATTCACGTCTACGACCTGGTGAAGACCACCTAGGAACTGACTGTCCCTGTTTCAGCATTTCACTTTAAGTTGGCTCTGGCCTGTCGTTACCTGGTCAAGTGTTAAAGATGGAAGTTTTTCCGAAGCAGGAAGAGAAATATCAAACATCAAGACCCAAGATTTTTTTTTCTTATTCCCCTACCGACTTGCTTTACTCTCATATTACAACACTTTTCATCTATTTTTTTAATTATTTTTATTAATCTTCAAGTTAAACTTGATTTATAACAATTATATTTTTTTCACTGTAAATAAATCATGTCTTAAGACCAACAAGTGAAGTGGAGCTAAACATGTGCTTTAGTTTAATCCCATTTTTTTATTTCACTCATAAACTCCACTTTGACTCCTATAATAAACAAATCAAAGGAAGAGACGGTAATTTTCCTGCTTATCCATCTTTGTTTTACTCTGACTTCATTTCACATATTTATTTTCTTGTGGTGCATCTTGCCGTGTTTCTGGTACCAAAACAGGAACTCGGCTGTGCTTTATGTCACTGAGTAAGCCTCAGTATGTTCAATATTGAAGTAAAACTCGTTAATTATTGTGATCATTTTCTCCATCCCAGTGAACTCCACTTTGAGTTGAAGTGTGACTGCATTCATGAGACTGTGTCTCAAGTTGTGAATAGAAAACAGAGTGATCTTAAAAAAAAAGAAGCAATGTATCATATCTCTGTTTAGTTTCATCATGTAAACTGTATGTTTTCTACACTATGATCGTGTATCAGAAATACTGATGTTCATGTGGGGCTGTTTCAAACTGTTTGTGCTGCACACTATCTAGTTGGATTTGGCTACTTACATTGCTCAGTATTTTTTAACTTGCATCTTTAGTATTTGCCAAAAAAAAAAAAAGAAATACTACTCAATGTGACCCTGACCATGTTTTTGTCCATGTAAATATAATAAAACATTTTTATGAAAATAACTGTTTGGTTGAAAATCTGTTCTCGTTAAATCTGTTCTCGTTGCATCTTTTCCATGTGCATGGTTCACTTTAGCAATCCACAGTCTAAAACCATGACAGGTTAATTGAGGTATCTAGATTGAGCTAAGATGTGTGCAATTATTTGTTGATGAGTGGCTTTTCAGTCCAGGCTTTATTTCCCTTTGGAGGCTGTAAATATACTTGCATATAATTGTTTGAGTAGATCATTCTCTAAGAAGATATCAGGAAGAGATTTGTAGAAATCCACAATTCTGATCCGTGGGTTAAATATCCAGACGTCTAAACCTGTAAGGTTTATATTATGCTATAAAAAGAGGCAGTGTATTTTAGCCTCAGTTAGCTTAATTGTTTCTGAATCTGGAACTATGACAAATGTAAGTTAGGCTTAAAAAAAAAGCTTAAAGGCTTAGTGTAATTCATAATATATGCTAATCCTTATTATTCTGGCAAATGGTTTATGAGAGAAGAAGTTCTGCTTGATTTAGGTTAGAGAAAACTGATCCAGGTCTCAAACATTCTCCGGTCATCCACCTGCAGTAGAAATAGTTTCCGTTTGAATGGAGTGACTTAAATACACTGCAACATCTACAGTAGTGAAATATTTACGGGTTTCACTGCTACAGGCAGAAAAACTTCCACTGTAACCCTGGGTTTACCAAGTCTATAGCTTAGGTCATTAGGGAGGATGATGTAAAGCAGGCATGTCAGGAGTTGGTCCTTAAAGCTGCTGAAGTGTAGGAACATTGGAAACCTGCTCCAATTGTCTCAGGTTTGAAGAAGGCCTTTTTCCAGAAGGCATGTTTCAGCTCCAATGATGCTCAATAGGATTTATCGAAGGCAATGTCAAAAAAAAGTCCTATGTTCTCCTGTTGGCTGTTTTTAGCTGTGAGTTTTAGGCCATTATCCTGTTGCAGACCCATTACCTAAGACTGGGAACAAGCTTTCTGATACTGGGCAGCAGATTTGTCTTTAGAACCCCTTGATAGTCTTAGGATTTCATGGGACCCTGCAGAGGATGAAGACACCCAGTGTCGATGAAGCAAAGCATTCTACAGAGCATAACATAGCCTCCTCCATGTTTCATACTAGGGACAGTGTTCTTTTCTTGATATGCATAGTTTTTCCTTTTGTGCAAAAAGTTAAGTTTTTGTCTTCTCTGCCCATAGGACATTATCCCAGAAACTTTGTGGCTTATCAACATGTAGTTTTGTGTGAATTTATCATTTTCTTTAATGGGTGGGTATGTAAACTTTTAAGAACAACTGTACTTTGCATTTTAAGAAGCTTTGTTATGTTTAGGGGGACAGGCTTACTTCCACACACATGATAAATGAGCTTAGCCTTAGACACATCATATTCAGCAAAGAATTCTGCTCCATTTTTATTGTTCAAAAGTGTTTTACCCTCTACTGTGTGTGAAATATTCATTTTTGAAAACATGTATTTCAGGAATTTATTAGATATAGTCTAAAGCGTCCTGAAAAACATTTTTTTTTTTGCCTGTCACGAAGAGCACAGTTTCAATCAGAGCTTCAACCTTACTGCAGCTTGCTCCATTGGAGTGAGAGAACGGTGAAGGACAGATTCATCGGGGTGACTGAGTTTGGAAATGCGTTAATGATTTCTGAGGTGCAGCTTAGCTTGAGCATTCATACAAGTTAGCTGGTGTTTAAAAAAACAGAGAGGTGTTAAGTAAATTGAGAAACTTATCATTTCATTTTTTTTTCATTTCAGGAATTATTTGATTTCTCCTGTTCAGCTAATTGATTGCATAATTAGTTGAACAGCTGGCCTCTTTCTTTATACATATTCTATAAACATTGAAGCAAAAAAGATAGAGTCAAACTTCTATTTTTATTCTGTTCTTATTTTTGCATTTTGTGTATTATGTGTATGTGTAAATCAGAAGCTACATGATGATGTATGAAACTATCCAGAAGTGCTAGGGATGGTTGATGATGATAAACATGTGCAAGGCTACACTAAAATAAAGCCTCCTTTTATTGTTATAGTCTGATAAAGGAAGGATTTTATCCAAAAAACAAATGACAATAGAGAACTTTAAAGTTTTACTGCATTTTTAAAGCTGTATACTTCTCTTTGTTTTAAAATATATAATTTTCCTCCCCTGCACCGAGGGCTCTGTTATTAATTAGGAAAGTATTTCTCCTAAATCACAGTGCATGAATAAGTGACATTTAATCATGGCACTTAGTGACAAATTACCAGTCATTTTGATATCTTGGGGTAATATTCTAGATTACAACCAACTCTGAAACAACAGTTTCAGGTTGTGGCCCACAAAATATGATCTTTATTGAGCTGAGAGCCCAACCAATGCTGCTTAAAGTAAACCAGATTTACTTTCAAGCCAATGTAAAAGGGTCTTTAGTAAGATCAAACTTTGTACATGTACACCACTCCTATTTACTCAAGACCAAGATTTTATTATCAACGCATATAAAAGATGTTAAAATAGGGGGTAATTATCACATAATAAATAATTATTATCACATAAGTATATATTAATATTTTTTATGTGGATTATCTAACCTTTTTACTTTATGGTCCCAGTTTTGGGAACCCCTTTCCTAGAGGAAACAAATTGATTTAGTGGAAGAATAAGATGAAATCAAAACAAGAAAGAAAACAAATTCTGGGTGCAATTAAAGTTCGAAATTAATCTTAAAAGGCTTTTTGTTTTCATGAGATTGTGTGTAGAGCTAATGAACAGCTTAACCACAGAGCAAAAACAATAAATGAAAAACAACTCAAAAGGAAAGCAAATTCAGCCTCTGCTGCTTTTAAAAGTCAAGTATGTACCAGTCAGAGCTATCTTGATGTCTGCGACAAAACATTTTTTAAGCTCTTTATAATCAAATTCCTGATTAGCTTTGGCTTTTAAAGGCCAATGAAATTAACAGAGAGAAACGACCCCAAATCACACACCCCCAACACTAAACCAGCTCTCTCAGCAGGGCTTAATTAGCTGGTACATGGATTCTATGGAGCATTTGGTCCTGGGGATAATTATAGCCTGGCTTACAACTGGTAAACCAGGTTTCTGGTTGTTTGTAGCTAAAAATATCTGGTTGTAGTGGATGACGAAGTACTCAAAAGTAGTACTTGAGTGAAAGTATTAATACTCATTGTCAAATCTTACTCAACTGCAAGTATAAGTTACTTGATCAATAATCTCAACATATTGAAGTACCTATTTTTGAAAATACTTAAGTATTCAAAAGTACATGCACTTTAAAGTACTAACGTATTTAGAAATACAAATTACATTTTTTATAGAACCTAGAACATTTTTATAGAACCTTTATTATTATTTTTTTTAACAACAAAACGAAAAAAATAGTGTCTTGATTCTCCTCAAACTTTCACCAGGGAATAAAGGTTTAAGGTAAAATCTATTACCACAAAGAAACAACTCTGCTTTAAGAACTCATCCTCCTGAACAACCCTAGCCACATTGCCTAGTTGTTCAGGAGCCGACTAACACCTTTATAAAATTGATGAACTACAAATAAAGTCTGCCCTGGGTTTTGTGCATTTATGAAACATAATTAAATCTCTAAAACAGCAGTGCCCAAATTCAGGGCTGCTGTCTTACATGTTGAAATTGCATTTTAAGAAAGAAAAACAGCAACAGCAGGTTACAAAACTAAGCTGATCCAAAAGGAACAAGTAACTAACAGCTTCCTAGAAATGGAGAGGAGTAGAAAGTACAATATTAGACTTGGAAATGTACTGAAGTGAAAGTTATAAGTACCCCCCGAAAATGACTCAAGTAAAGTAAAAATACTATAAAAAAAAAAACAAAAAACAAAACAAATGGTGGTACAATACTATAAAAAAGTACTTAAGTACAGTTATCATGTAAATGTATTCTATTACTTTCCTCCACTGCTGGTTAATGACTAATCTCTGGTTCACCACAGATGAGAGTTTCTCTGTTACCTTTAGAGACAGTTTATATTTTGTTCAAGGTTCCTCTATTCTGATCTAGAAGGTCAGGTGTCCTGCACTTTGCTATCTGTTGCTACTTCAACACAACACAGTCAAATAATTAGGTTATTAGCAGGATTCTGGAAAACTGGACTGCATGTTGAGAGGATAATTTATCCATTTGATTCAGGTGTGGAAGCAGAGACATGGCTAAAAGGTGCTGGACCATAATTAAGGAAGCTTGCATAGCTCATCAGTTAAGCGGTCCATCAGGAATCCCTTTTTGGATCTTTTATGCTGTCCTTGCAATCTATTTTGACCATATTTTGTTAATTGTTTTGCTGATGCAGTAAAACACAGAGGCCACAGCAATATTTTCTGAGCTCTTATGAACAAGAGAGTCATTTCATAATTTAAGTATTTAATGTATATATATATTTTTTTTAGTTGTGAAGAATCTTTTTTTTGTGATAACTGGCTGCTTTTTTATTTGGATTAAGAGATGGTAAATGTTGTCAAATGGAGGTTTTCATTGGCTTCATAAAACTTAAAAAATATTTGGCTCTGTTTTCTTACCTTGGGTCCTAAACCTATTGTGCTTTATATGTCAGTGTAGTTTAATTCCCCTGCTTTATTTAGCTTATTTAGATTAAAGCAGGCCGTGTGAATCTCCGGTTTCGCAATATTTATACTATTTACTTTTTCCTCCATTTCCACATTGATTTTAAACATGTATCAAATTTTATGAATTTACATGATTTTTGGTGTGAACCTCTTAGCATTAAAACACATATTCTGTTTCTCTTTTTGCAAAATCCAGATTAAGATACAGGGCTGATTGAGCTTTTTTAGTAGCTGCATAGTTTAGTTGAACATAGAAACATTTAAGAGGCTCTGAAAAAGACTGAAAAGGACTCTTTGTCCTTCAACTTGAATGCA